AATCTAAAAGAAAAGAAGTTTTTGTAAAAATAAGATTCTAAGCATTAACGAATTTAAATAATCGATAATTCTTAAGAAAAAATTTAACTAATCCCCATTCTTTAATTAATAATTGTTTGTTAAGTGGTGGTTTAAACTTTTTATCACTAACTATTTTTTCTAATCCATAAAAATCGCCAAGAAATCTAATTTCTTCATTGCCATAATTAGATAATTCACTATCTAAATTTGGTAATTGTTCAGGATCAAATATTTTTAATGCGTTAAATAGTTCTCTATTTGGAAAGCGATTGTTAAGACTTTCAATTATTGCTAATGCAAATTCAGAAATATCAGAAGTTGATCAATATTTAAATTATTGTTTGCTATATACTCAAGTAAATTTGGACCATAAGTAGGTAAGACTTCATTGCTGTCAATAAATTGAGCCTGAATTGCATCAACTGTCATAGTAATATATTGTTGAATATCTGTAAACAAAACATAATCTGATTGAAAAATGCATATTAATTTTTTCATAATAAAAAAATAGTCAGCTAAAAACATTGTTATAATTTCAAATTCTTGATCAATTTCTGTTAATAAGGAGGCAGCTTGCTGATTAGTTATTGCTTCTTCTGATAAAGCTTCTTTAACTAATTTTAAACTTCTGTGAAAATTATGAATAACATTTGAGAACGAGAGCCAACAAGTAGATACAATATTTAATAATACAAGCTCCAGTTCTTCTAAAGTATTTTGTACCATTTTTAAAGTTAATAATCGTTTATAAGAACTACTAAAATATAAATAAATTCCTTTAACTAATGTATCATATTTTTTAAAATATAAAACTTGTTCTGTGGCATCTTGGCTAGCAAGATGTAATCAATGTGCTATGCAATGATTTTCTGTAAGGTAAGGATTATACTTTTTAAGTCGTGCAGCAATACCAGTTCGATGTCCAAGCATTGTACTAGCACCATCACTTCCAAAATGAAATATATTTTTAATATTAAGTGATTTTGCAATTATAAATCTTTCAAGATCTTCAGTAATTGATTTTGCATTGCAATTAGTAAGTTCAATTATTCCAAGATATCGCAAAACTGGTTTATTGTTAATAAGATATTTAGCTACAATTGCAAGATGTTTAGTATTAAATGAAGTGCTTTCATCGACTAAAATGCTCCAATTTTTTGAATCAATTAACTCTTGAATTATTTCATATTCTATAACAAATGCTATTGATGCAAGAAACATACGTCCAGATATTGGGTTTTCATATGAAGCATATTCTTGCTCACTCAAACTAGATATTTCATTATCAATCGGTTTTAATACAATAGGTTCTTTTTCAAAATAAAGCTCGTTACAATTTTTTAATTGTAATTGCTCTAATTGACATAAAGCTGAATATTGTTTTACAGCCTGATTATTCTTTGAAAGATAATAAATATTGCACATTAATGATATAATTTTTAATTTTTGAGTACTTATTTGTCAAGTAAAACTTTGAATAATTGTAGTTTGTTAACTATCTTGATTAGTAATTGCTTTTCGATGATCACTAGTTGCAAGATGTCTTTCAAATGTTTGTTTTCATAAAGACTGAGTACCGATAGTAAATTGATTAACTTTTTTTGCTGCCTTACACCAAGTGCAAAATACAGTAATAACACCATTGACATCCTCATATTTTTCAACCCAAGGATAAATTTTAGAAAAATTAGGATCCCAACTAGTGCGAATTTTTTTATAAGATTTTTTTTTATTATTAAAATTAGTTTGCTCATGATTACTTTCACTGGACTCATTGCTACTTGCAATATCCTCTTGGTTATCTGAAATTTTAACACTTTGTCGAATTACAAATTTATCCATAGTTTATTAAAAAAAGTGAAAATAAGCTTGAATAATTTATAAATTATAATTCATAAATATTATTTATTTATATATATGTATTGACTTATAGTTTTTAATCATAATACGATATTTATAAAAAGAATATTCGATTAGAAGTATGAATTTGTGCAAAAATACTTACACATATATATTAATTCTAAACTTTGTGACACATTGTAAGTGTATATAGATTAACTTATTTGTTTGTTGATTTAAGCATAAAAAAATATAAAAATTTTCGAAAAGCATTGCACGCATATGACATGTTACTAATTTGGAAGTATCTAGCTAATAGCGCTAGACATTTTATTAATTTTTATTGAATATGCAGCATACATCAGTGAAATTGATGTACAGGATATGGTCCACGATATATAGCATCTCCCACACTGCGTAAAGCAGGCCAACTTTGATATGAAGTTACAAATTGCCACAAAATGGCAGAATTCTAGATAGATTCACTCAATTTATGTGAGCGAGAAGGGTTGGGTGCGAATTGGTCTCTTGTGGATAATGGATGCTAGTTGGGCAGTTTGCTATGGCATGCCTGTTCTTATGCGTTTCATTAACAATGAAGTTATTCTTAGCAATTACCTCATTCGTACTAAATTAAGCAGTTAATTAAATCATACTTATCTGGTTTATATGCTCGTTCATGTGGCATCAGATTATTTGCGTGCTTAATTAGATTCGATGGCTGCAATTAAGATTCTAACCGAATTGCTTACGGCATGTCCTTACTTAGCTATTTTCGATCTATTGACTTGTCAACTTAAAATTGATATATAATTTCTTAATTTGTATTAATTCAGGTTTTTTACATTAATCAAAAATTATTATACGTGGCTTATATCATTCGAGTTAGTAAAAAAAATTAACTAATTAAAAAGATATTCTAAGTAATATTACAAGCTTGTATGACTATTCCTTCTAGTTATAATTGAGCGTCTAACTAAATTAGTATCATGATTATTAAATCTCACTATATAAAATAGCGTACATATTAACACAAGACTAATGCTAATACAATATTGCGATATAATATAATACAGTAGATTCCAAAAAGTTTTTTTTTATATTAAGTTATATAAAAAAACAAGACCTTTATTTAATAAAAAAAAAAAAACCCCCCATTTTTATTTTAAAGTAGTCATAATAACTTTTCTTTATCAATTTCTTACTAGCTTGTCTTTATAGAATCACTATGCTTAGAAACCTAGTAATATTTATTTTAGTAGCACTGTATATTCATTATTATGCATTGCTTTTACAAACGGGTTATTATAGCATTCACATGCAAATCAAGTGTCTGGACAACCTTTAAGTTGAACGACTTCTAAACTTGTTAAGTATAATTTAATATATTATACTTTTTTAAAACTTATACGTATATAAAAGCTCAAGCTTAAATACAAAGAGCTATATATATATATTAGCAAAGTAATCTATGCTATGTATGTACATATCTTTTCAGTAAATGCATATCGATATATTATTTTGTACTTATTAGATAAGCGCAAAATAATATTTGCATATGAGTATAAATACTTTTTATTAACTAAAATTGATAATAAATAAATGTTATCTTATTCACATTTAATTACTAGAATAGTCTTTTTAAGTTTACTATATTTGCATAAATTTATTAGATAAATAAAAAGTTATGAGACAAATAAAAATTTTGAAATTTATTATTTTATTCATCAAAAATAAACTTATTGAGTAACACATTTATAATAAGTCTTAATTATATCATTATAGCACTATGAATCTATCGTAAACTATATTAAATAATATTAACTTATAGCGCACATTAGTTAAAATATTCATAATATATCACTAAAAAACTATATGCGCATACCGCATATTACTATTAGAAATTATGTGCGTTTTGCGCACAGTCTTGTATTTTTTTTGTGCGCAAAAAAAATTTTATGTGCGGAGCGCACTTGCGCATATTAAATTTTTTTCACTGGTGATTATAACTATATAAAAAGTTGTAGCTAAATAAAGATCAAATTTTATATACAGTCAAACCTCTCTATAGTCACACCCACGGGATACAAAAAAGCGTGATTATAAAGAAGTGTGCTAATTAT